ACTACTGCACTGTTGGGAGGTCCCATTGATTGTTCAGGTGGAGATTCGATGATACCATTTACAACATTGAGAGTTCTCTCAACATCCCGGCAAATATTCCTTCCTCTTCGAAGTTTAATTGGTCATCATCTCATCCACAATCACTATACTTCAATGTGAAGTTGATTAGGACATTTTGGCATAAGATATTAGGGTTTTAAAATGCAGCGTTCACAAACCAGATGTTACAGTACTAATTGTGACTAATATTGCAGGATTTATTAAAACATTGTGATCCTGAAAGTAGAATTTTGATTTCCAACCCTTGCAGATCACAATTTGTATCACAACTTTGTTAGATAATCTCAAAATTTTAGCAACCTGGAAATCAATTAGCACAGCGACTTCCAGCTTGCAAATGCTGACCCCCACCTCTCCAGGCCAAATATAAGTATTGGGGATTTTCAGATACTCAATACTCTGGAATGAGCTCTTGGTTAACATGCCAAAAGCAACGTTAATTTTTTTTTACAAGTAGCGGGTAATTATATTTTAGCAATATTTTATAATTACAACAATCATAATTTCATCTTGCTTACTGCCACTGCAAGCAAGAAAATTATTTTTGAAAAACGTTAGAAAGTCTGGAATACAACATTGTACAAGCCAAGTGTCTTTCCTTTATGTTCTTATAGATGTGTAGTTATAATCGTTACTGCTTTGCACACAACATTTTTTTGTGGCTCAAACAACAATAAATGGACATTTATATAACAGATCCCAGTATCCTTTAAAAATCACTGTAAGCAACATACCTCTGTACATGCATATGGTGTTCAGGTCACACATGGCAGGTGAGTTGGATTATTACTTGTTTTCATTATTTGTTTTTTTTTGCTCTGCAAGAAGTCTAAGGGAGACCTGTGGTCAAGGTCAATGTGATGTCCCTAAGCCATTCTGATGCTCAATCCACATTTCAAAATATGAATGTAATGAAAAACATCAAGACACATGAACTGTGGTGCTTCCAGAACCACAACATAAATGTGGTATTAGGGACTGATCCTCTCACATCTATAGCTTATAAATAGCTAATTTAAACCAAATTCATAAAGCCGTAGAATATACCAGATTATCTCATCAAAATTGGAGCATCAGAAACAATAAGCTGCTTTTGAAATAAGACTGTCATTATTAACCCAATATTGAGTCAGTTGCTGTGTGCGCTTAAAGGCTATAAATAATTATGAATAGGAAAAGCTGCATTTGTGTTAACTGATGAATGCACTGATGAATGGATTGGTTTACAAACTCAAGTGTCAAGTTTCCCACCTTCTGCTTGGAGATTTTTCACATGACTATTAAGTTATTTTTTGAAAGAAACTGCTAAATTCTGCAGTGCTGAAACGGGCAACCAAATGGAAGGGTTTTTTTTTGCAAAGAAAATTATAAAACAGCGGAAGACAGCAGAACATTTATCAGAGTAGCAGCTCCCATTCATCTAAAGCCGAGCAGCTGTACTGTGTGAAATAGGCTCTGATGGACAAGCACAACGAGTAACCTGATCCGGCCATACTACCACTTATTTTAAGACAGATAGCTGATACTACTGAGCCTCAATTTTAATTCAAGAGGTTGATGCTAAAAAGGAAGGATTTAACTAAATCCTTTTCAACATCACAAATGTGTTTTTGTAATTAAAGCCGCACAATTAACATTGACAAGCTCAGGTCACCAAAGCACAGATTATGCTGTTCAAATGTTCCCTGCTCAAAGCCTCCAGCAAACAGCTGCAGGAAGAAAAAGAGCACATTCTTTATCAACTTGGCCTCAATCCCAGCCAAGTCCTGGTGGAACACTGAATTTTTGCTACACACATGCTGTAATCCTCTGCTAACATCACAAACCAATACTAGGGATTTTATTGTTTCTGTAAAATCTTAAGCCAAATTTAAATGTGCACTGAGAAACTACAAACCGTGCAAGTAGCCATGTAGTCATTCCTTTTCAAAATCCTCTTTGTTCGCATACATTAATGTTTTTGGAATTATGTTAATATGACAGATAGGGGCATTGTAGCCAGTGCTCGATTGATTGCCAATCACTGACTCTCAGATCTTGCAAACGGGGATTTGACCTCAATAAAAAGATTTTTCCGCCATTTCCTTTTAGCAAAACCTTTGCAAACCTTTCTACCAGCGAATGAATAGATTGGGTGAAATCCGTGGCAAAACAGATTGTGCAAAGTCCCTGAAAGAACAAGTCTTCTTGCTCCATGCTTTAAATGTTCTTTGGTACATTCTGCTGTTCGTTTTCTTATGTGCAATACTTGCATGTACACAAACTCACATGTTTATGGTTGAGATATTCTATATACAGTCAAACCTGTTAAAACAACCACTTCTGTTCAGCAACTGTACTAATGGGCTGACGTGATGCCCACAGCTTCCCAGGCTCACCAGGCAGGAGATTTTAGTAAATGTGCTGGGAGGCTAGCTGGAGTCTACATGTGACCCGTGGAAAAAAAAATTCATCCGGGCACGGTCAATGAACCCTTACTCGGAGGTTATCGTTATACAATGGCCACTTTGGTCCAGTTCCCTGAATGGTTGATGAAAATAGGTTTGACTAATTTACTAGAACATAAAACTATTCTACTCACCTGAGTCCACTAACATGCATACCCGGTCCTTTTCCCCCATTTAAAATAAGCTGGTAATTATTCTTTCAAATTTACTAATAATCTAATGTGAAACAGACTAAAATGACTCTACAATCTGAAGAGAGTACTCTGTCAAACATTTCTTTCAAATGCTTCATTGCAAACCTCAAACTCTATATTTTCAACACAATCTACAAAATTCAAAAACACAAGTTGTAGAACCTCAATCTTAGGCACATACATGCCTTTCCATTGAAGATATAGATATATCTGGGCACTTTAAAAAATAGTCAATATAAAGCCCTACCCAAAAAGTAACCTTTATAAGTTGCCTTGACATGGAAAAAAAACAGAATCATGCTTAGAGTATCCACACCAGACAGTTGTCCTGTTTGCCGAGCCTCCAGAACCACGAGTGTCAGTTGTGTGTCTTTAACGAGTTGCATTGTATGTAGGTTTATCAAGTGTTCAGATGATACTCATCCAGGAATGAAAGAAAATAGCGTTAAAGTTACACAAATAACTCTTCAGTTTAGAAATGTTTGCTGCTTAAGTTCACCACTCAATACTGATGGTACTGGAATGAAAGTTTCTGTGCTCAGATCTTTTTGACACAAAAAGGTTAAAGTTAATGTATTCGGAGAGGCTATTAATAGACTTAAGTACTGCCATCAAGGGACTACTCAAAGCTCTATTCACGTGCAATGGAATTAGGTACCTATTCATTATGCTACTCACACCTAGGCCTAGGTGTGAATAACGTGGAGATCTGTTTCCATGTTTAAAAGAGTTTAGTTGTCGTGTTTTAGCCTGGGGATGTTACGATAATAAATGGGCCAAATTAGAGAGAAATAAATAGGAAATTATTTGTGCTTTTAACATTTTATAATAATGCATAATGACATTTAATAATAGACCAAATATTCTATTAAAATGTCCGAGAATAATAAGCTGTACCTCACAAGCAAACCTCACCCCTCATTTAGAAGATTTGTATGCTTGGCTGACACTGATAGCTTCTCTTACTGCTGCACTGTTTACTTACCAGAAAGCTAGTGCTGAGGGCAGTATGCTGGTGCTCAGTTCTGTGAATTTGTGGGATCCATGGCATCAGCATATTCCACACGCTACATTATCATCCATGTGGTACAATGGCATCCTGTGCATGTTTGTTTGATGGAGTAGCTCATAACCAAAACCTGTAGGATATTTGAGGCCAAGAGCTGTACTTGAAAGGCAGACAATCTCACTTAATAGGATGCCATTGTACTTCATACACTATTATATTATTCCATGAATTATCAAGGAAGCATGTGATAAAACCTTAGTTGTTCATTACAAACTCAATTAACCTCTTTCTTTTGTATTGCCAAGGACTTGATTACTGCACATCATCTTCTTTCCTTTTTTCAATTTATTCTGCATTTTAGCTCCACTTATCACATATTTTAGCTGCTCATATTTGTTATGCTATTTAGAGCTGCTATTTAGAGCTGGTTGCTTGGAGCATCATAGAAAAGAACAAGAGAAGTCTATCTGGCCAGATCTCCCCCAATATAACATAACCCAATCTCCGTTGTGACAAAAACATATCAAATTCTCAAGATCACCCTAGATTGTGCCTTGTTCATTTTAACAATCTCTCTTCACAGCTCAAATGACCAATCCCACGTGCTAATCTAGTCGTTATTCATTGCCCTTTCTTCGAGATGTACATCTGCATTAAAGGTAACTTCGCAATGATGTTTTCTCCTTCTCTGTACTTTATTGTCTATTTTTACTGTAAGTATTCAGAAGGGCCAAACCAACAAGTAGCCAGATCTAGGATGATTCTATTTATAGTAGTATCAATCATACACATTTCATAATCAGAAACTCACGAGTTAGTGCAACCATTAAGAATGGGACATTTACCCTTCCGGGTTGCTAGACCGTGGATCTTAAATTTAGAACAAGCAAATGAAGATAACGTGTTGACAATGAGAATACAATCAGTCAAGTTTTATGCAGCAATGAGTTGAGTAGCATCTCTGATACTTAGTGTTGGAAGCTGAGAATTATTTGTGATGAAAGGCTGGGAGGCACCGTTTGCTTTGTGTGACACTTTAGTTACAATGCACATTAACCTCAGTAAAGTAGTACATTAGCAATGACATGTCAAATACGTTATTAACTGTTGATGTGAGGCAAACAAATGCATATGAGGGATGTTACAAGTTTACCCAAGTAGTGGTTTATGGTCCATTAAGATAAAATACTATGAAGACAAATAGTTCTGCAACATGCAAGATCCTTTTAATGTCTCCTGCAGAGAAAGATAAAAAATGTAACCTATGGAATATATTGAAGCAACTCTTACCTCATCTCCTGATTTAACCGAAACAGAGATTACCGATCCAGGCATTGGTGATCTCAGGATGCTGCTTGTGTCCTCTGGCAATTTGATAGGCATGTGCTCATTCAACTTTGCTGCCAGCTTGGTCAGTACTTGGATTTTGTACTGTAAGTGAAGAAAATACAATAGATTTTAGTTACGGCTACAGGGATTTAATACAACACAATCAGAAGCACAGAACCTAAAAACATTACATCACAGATACAGGCCAACTAGACCATCAAATTTGTGTTGGTTTTATTCACCACATGAGCTGCTTAATAAAAACACAACTCTCCTGTTTGTTTGCTCCTCATTTCACTTAACATTCCTCTTCTTCAAATATCTAATTAAACGCCTTGAAAAGAATTTAGAGATTCTGCTTTAATTATAGTTTGTGGTAGACAATACCACATCCAAACACCTCATGCTTAAGAGTATCCAAACCAAACTGAGAAACTGGAAGGATGCATTCTGTTTCCCTAATTCCAGAAAGTATTAGGCAAGAAGAGTCAAGGCTTGGGGACCCCAGAGTGTGCGTTGGGGTACTGCTGGAGTCTAACCTAATCTAACTAGCTAAAATACAATTTCTTTTTGTGATGAGAAATCTACTTAACATATTTAAGGTCAATGTTCTTCACAATATTATTTTTGTACAAATTATATCAAGAGAGGTATAATGCGGCAGAGTGGTGGAAATGGGCGACCGCAGCAGATGGTCAAAAAGAACATATGTATGTGGACAAATACATTGAAGCAGGGAAAGAAATCGTGAACATGCACCGTGTAACTATGGAGCAAGCGGCCACTCAGGGAGAAAAGGTTTGGCATGAGGAGGGGGAGCAGGGGAAGCTGTACACATGTGATGAGCTTCACCTGAAGCAGACAATTACTGTTGTTCATCTAAAGAAAGTGGTGGGTAAAGATTTGAGGTGCTGGGTTTCCAACCTTTTCTTCTCCAAGAAAGTCAATACAGAAACGGTACATTGCTGCTTATACAGTTCACACACACATGAAACTTTCTGAAGTTGTTTTCAAGATCCCCTTATATTATCCTAATAATGGTAGTAGAAACTGGATATTACACTTTTAACAGCAATTTTACATCAATAACTGAATCATTTATACAGAAATATTCAAAAAGTTATTGGTCAATTAAACTCTATAAATTGCCAGAGAATGGAAAACGTCCTAAAGTTAATGGACGAGGGACGAGTTAATGCTTTAATGGAGATGCGCTTTGGTGAGCCAAATAATATTTTATTATCCACGGCTTTTATATGTTCCAACGTACATAGCCATCCTTTATGCAAGCCCTTTTTATTCAAATGTAATAATGTGTCCTAAGATGCAGAAATAAACCACTTACATAAAAGAGGAGCTTTGTACCCAATGACAAGTTGTACTGTACAATTAAGATTCAGACCTTCATTAACGGATTACATTAAAAGTTAGTCATTATATACAAGCTTCATTACAATTCATTAATCTGTCCTATTTATACCACCGATATCTATATTAAGATGCATGCTATAGTAAACAAATCATAGAGTTCCTAGATTATAAAATAAACATCTACAATATCCTCTAACATTGAAAACTAATGACTACCCTCATTGTATTCTCCTAATTTAGTTCCTTACTATAGTAGATAAATGACAATCTAATCACATGAAACAAAGTAGTTTCCTCAAAAGAATCAGTGCTTTCCTCCCGCAATGTAAAACAATTCATGTCAAACCTGTAGATGGCAGCAGTCTCTTCTCAATGTTTGCTTCAACTTCAGTTAATATTGTGCAGAGGATCACAAAAATATGCTATTATTCTATCTATTATTCTACAATTAATAAACTACAATAAACTATCATATTACACAAAGTAATGTTTTTAACTTACTGAAGTATTTATTTTACATTATCTTCCTATGCGACTCTTCTTCCCACCCAAACAAACAGCATACAGTATCCACTGACAGGGTTTGTAGTAATAAACCAGATTTCACACATTGCTACCTTACAGCCACAATGCAATTGCTGTTTTAATGCACTAGGAGGCAACATTGTGTGGCTTACAAAGGATTCTCTCTTTCCCATCCCTACTTCCCCGCCCACCCACCCCCCCAACCCCACCCACCACAACCACACCAAAAAACATGTTAGATCACCAATTATAGACTGGAGAATTCTCCAAATTTTTCTCCCCACCCCTATGGTGTGGAAAACATTCACAATGGTTTTTGCATCCCCACTTCCAATAAGACAAGCAAAACCCTCAATTATTTTCTCTCCCCTCCACTGAAGATGTACCAGAAGAGACTCCCTCACCACCTCAGGAATTCCCACGGTGAGCAATGCAACAATATCGTTGAGAACAGAGAAGGTGGTAGGTGTACTCTGCTACAGTAGCACTGAAACCAATCGAAATACACCTACCACCTTTCTGTCAGAGATCAGTAAACCTGACTTCTACACTGGGCACTGACATTTTCAATCGTTATATGCAAATGTACATTAGTTATGATCAATATTATTTGCAGAAAATTAAAGTGGGTAGCTTAATTTTTGGTGCACAAGAACTCGGGAAGAAGCTATCATGAAGCTATGAACCAGGGGCGGAGGGGGAGGGAAAAGGGTAACATAACCTGGCTCTAGTGAAAAGTAATGGGACAGTGCTAACTCATGTAGAAGAATAAGGTCACTCTCTGATACTTCATCCAACTGATTATTCTTGGATCTCCCAAGGCAACCGAATGCTCCCAAGTGCTCTGTGATGCTATCCAACGTGAAGGGTGCTATGTAAATACAAGTTGTTATTGTTGGGATTCTTCTTCACCTGCTTTCTTAGTCGAGGCAAACTACTTAGGGACAAAGGAGACAAATCCCATTCTGTCCTTACCAAATGGTCACAGCTCTTGCAGGTGATACTAGTAGCTATATCCCTGGGAATTATGACAGAAACTAAAAATAATAAAAGCAAAAATTGAAAATTGGTGCAAAATTATACTTAGATGTTTACAAATTAAATGCAGGATAACACTATTGTAGCCTATTTAGCAAAATATGGAGGTCAGTTTTCAAGAATTTTGTATTTATTCACCGCTTTTATATAGCACATTTTTGTATTTATTTATGAGTCATACCTCCTGCTCTCTTCCTGTCGTTGTCTGCACAGCCTCTGGAGAGCTACAGGAAGAGAGCCAGAGTGGGAGGCATGAGACAGTTCTGCCATATTGTGCAATATTATGCGCCTATGTATAGTGAAATGTATTATGCACCAAGTTACAAGGGCGCATAATTATGTTACTCCCTGGGTGTAAATAGCCAAGCTTAACAGGGATTAATCTCAGAAAATTCCCACTCTGTATAGCTCAACCACTGCCCACTCTTCCCCCAGATTTTTAGTTGGAGTTGTAACGTTATTCAAACAAGAAGGAAGACTACTTACAGTAAGTGGTCTGCTCTGCTGTCAATTTTATTTGCATTTGCAAAGACGCTGTGTTCAAACCCACGTGTGAGGCAGATATGACACCAGTTAACTAACCTAGTGTGCCATCCACATTCCCACTTAGATCATATTTATTAAATAGGACAAGGAATGCACCACACTCTGTATTCAATTTACATTACAAAGAAACAATGGCTTATTTATGTTGGAAAATATTAAAAGCTTGGCAGCACTCTTCTCATTTCAAAAGATTTGACACAGTTTTGCCAAAATGCATAGCACCAGTATTTTAAGAGGTTGTTTCATGGTTAAGACAGTGATCACATTGGCCTTTATTACTTTTTTTTTTAGAATTATTTACATCAAACATCACCCTAGAGGGCATAAGAAAAAAATGGATTAGCATATCTTTGATAAAAAATGTATTTTCTTTTAACAAAAACTGGTTATGCATAGTGTCATTCTGAACTGCTACTTCTCTCAGGATATTTCCCACACTGCGGAGAAATGTGCCTAAAGCTGTATTCTGAGTCCATAGCCCTAATTTCCACTCATCAAATGTGCAGTACATGTGCAGTCTTGACAGTGAATCTGCAAAATGATCATTTATCTCTCCTTTTTGAACAAAAATCTGCCAAATCAGATTTGAGGACTGAAAGTGCAGCTACTGCATCTTTAGCAAGTGCTTTGGATCTAACTGAAATACTTCCTCTGGGCAACTTATTAATTAGAGTGACAACAAAATTTACAGGCTGCAAGTTAATAAATGTTTAATTAACAGCTTTTAACTGTACTCAAATTATGTTGTATTACTTTATAAAGCAGAGGCCCTAATATTCTGTGCAACACTGCATAGACAACAGGAGCAATTGCATGCAGTTGTTTTGAAAAGTATCCAAAACTTTTTTTTTGCTTCTGCTCCTATAACTTTACCAATGATTGCTCAAGTCACTTTGTTACCTATACATTGGAAACCAGACGTAACATGTCCCTCAGTTTGGTGATGGGTATTTTATTTTGCTGCCTCTGCTTCTTCTATAATCCACTTTCATCGCTGACACCTGGAAAGCAGCATTGTCGAGAAGTTGCAAACAACAACAACTTTGTGGTACAGCTCACCACCACAAATCTTCCACTAACTTGGACCTTTCTACTTCTTGCACCTATATGACCACTGGCCTGAATGTAAAATTGACTCTTTTTGGACACTGCTATGCTAGTTTTTGCTAGTTTCAGAAACATTACTTTCTAGGCACTTTTAAACTTGCAGGTTTGACTTTGTGGTCTAATTCATGAGATTTGCAAAAAGGATTTCCAAATAGCACCTCCTGGCTCAGGCTGACCATCTAGAACGCCACTAGATCAATATCCAAGTGGAGTTCCAGAAGGTTAGTCTGAGACAAGCTGGACATTTGCAGGATGTCCTTTGGTGATTGCAAATCCTTCAGTGAATCTCACAAATTACAGCTCTTTAACAATCTCAATCGTTAGCTGTCCTCTCTATAATTTCTTCTGTGAGAAACTCATTATTTAGCTCATTTTCTCACTGATGCCTCAGTTAACTTTGTTGTGCCCGCACAGCCCCATTTGTGCTTATTTTATATTGTCACACCAAACCAGAGTCTCCTCTGGAGACTTGAAACATGGGAGATCCGCTGCATGGATTGACTGTTTGTGGGATA